AAGGGAATATTAATGATTAAATTAAAAGCTACATGGCATGACTACGCCAGCATTAAAAAAAAAAAAAAAAAAAAAATTAATTGATTTTTTATTGTTATTTTATTTTTAATAAATAATTTACAATCAGATTAAATTAAATATTTATTAATTAAAAAAATATAAAAATATTTATTTATTTAAATAATATAATATATATTATAATTAAACTATTAAAAACTCTTTTCATTGATTCTTTGATCACATATAAAAAAGATGCTCACGAGAAGTTTTTATATTTTTATATTAATAAAGTCTTAAGCCTTTCTTAAACCAATTTGAAAAAAACTTTAAAGCTATTCTTACTTCACTTCTATTTTGTTAATACTCTTTTTTAAACAAAAACTTGATTTTTATTAATCAAAAAATCAAGAAACATCTTTTCTATCAATGGTAAAAAAATTCTAAAACTAATGTATTGTTATTTTACATTATAGAAAAACAATACAGAATAATTGGATCAACAAGAGACTATTTTTCCACTCTCTTTGTTATTTATTCCACTCTAATAATGTTTATTTCTAGAGTTTTTCTAAGAAATTTTACTTACTTTAGTTCTATCTTAAATTTTAAATAATATAAAGTTTCTTATATCATAATTAAACAAATAGAGTCTATATTAATAAAAGAAGTAAACAAGCTCCCATTGATCATTTCACATATTTGAATGAATTTCTTCAGATATATAAGAACTTATAGTTCACCATAAATTATGTGATTATATGCAAGTGAATATAGGATACTATATCAATTATGTTACTGGTTCCTTTGAGAAAAAGTCTGTATGATTATAGTAAAGTCACAAAATGCTATAACCAGATTTTATAGTTAAAGTTATCTACTTTTGCTTATCAAATAGATTTTTTCTTTAATCCTGTTAAATAGATAAAAATTTGAAATAACAAGTCTCTATGATAAAATTGAATTTATATAGCAAATATATTAATAGAAAATTAAATTTTTTTTAGGATGATAGGTCTTTTCTGAGCACATTTATTAGAAGAAATTGAAAAGAATCAACAAATATTCTTTTTTAATATATAAATTAAATTTATTCAATATGTTTTCTCTGATAACAAGCTATTAAGTAAATAAGTAATTTAGATTTTATAACATGAAAATATTGAAAGCAGTCAAGAAACAAACAATATATTCTTGACTGAAAAAATTTTAAAGAGTAACTAGCCTATAATATTAAAGTAGTAGTAGTAGTAATGTAAAATTTAAATAGTTTATAAAATTCTAGAAATATTTTATTGATCACTATTTCTTGTATTTGTATTTTGTTTGACTTGAAAATTTAATAAAACAAGATTGAGTTGCCATTTTTAAAAAAAAAATCATAATTAAATTATATTATTGTGGACTAAACTGGCAAATTTATTGTTAATTCATAGCACCTTATATAATCTAAACAACCAATACTAAATATACACAACTTTACTAAAAGAAGAAACCATCTCTTGTAAAAAAATATTAAGAAAGATAGAAACATAGTGATTGATTTGATTAAGAATAAGTGTCTGCTTTATTTACATTTTATTTTTTTTTTATATAATATTAACAAATATCTTTATTCTCAATAAGAACTGTTTTAGCATATTTAATATTATACTTTTGACTTATATTAATAAATTATATACAGTATATGCTTTTCTTAATTAAAATATATTATTTACTTTAAAATAAGCTATATTAACTCCAAGCTTTACTAAACTTTTCATACTTTATCATATATATAATATGTAGTTTTCTTATTAGTACTCAGGTCTTAATTCATAGTTTTTTATTTTGCAATACTCAATTTTATATATTAGACTTTTATTTTTAGATTCTAGATTTATTATATGTAAATTGCATTATTTATATGACTTTTGACAATATCAATAGTAAATATTTGATATACTATATATATAATAAGGATATGTCATATTAACTTGATTGTAAATTAAAAAAGATTTGTATAATTAAATAAATATATATAGTAGATACTATAAAAAATACATGATTTTCAAAAAAAAAACTAAAAATTTATATACACATTTAAATATATATATATATTTTCTGTATAAAAATTTTTTATTGATTTGTTTATTAGTATTTGATTAGCTTTTTATTTGTTTTCAATATGATTTTGATTAGCTGTGACATTGAGTCTATAATATTTAGCAAAGTAAATACATTAAATTTCAATCACTTATTCTTTAAAACAATTTTAAGCTCTTCTATATTATGTAGAAAATCTTTATATTTTTGAATATTATTTTTCAATAATTTTTAAATATTTTCTATAGGGTTTAAATTAGAGACAAAGTTGATTAAATTATTATTTCAATTTTTTTCTTTATTATTCAATTTGCAGTACTTTTTGCTATATAGATCAATATATTGTCTTGCTGAAACACTAATTTAGATTCCAATAATAAACACATTATATTAAGAAATGATACAAATTTGTTTTTTAAAATCTTTAGTTAGGTTTCTTTCTTTTTTTTTATATTCATCAAAAAATATTAATGGACTTTGATTTCCCTTACAAAATATTCCTAGATTATTAACAAACATCTATCTTTTTTGAAACTTGGTGCCAAACACTTGGGATTGTATCTCTCACCATTATGATACCATTCTCTAATTTTATGTAATTGTTTTTCAATTTCCATACTGATTTTATTCAAAAAAATAACCCATCATCAATAATATATATTTTTATTTTTATGTTTTTCACATCAATTTTTTCATGCAATTCTATTAGCTTCTGATATGAATGGCTTTTTTACTATTACACAGAATAAATCCTTGCATTGTATAATATCCTGGCAGCAGTTGTTAAACTGCAAGTAAACTTTAAACTATTGATAATGTCTTTTAATGACATGTGATGTTTCTTTATAACTTCTTGAAGAAGAGCTTCTTTTTCTTCATCAGAAAGGAGTGGTTTTCTTTAAGATCATGGAAGATTTTCTATATTTCCGGTTCTCTCATATTTAGCTATGAACTGTCTTATTGTTGAGAGGGCACATCCCATTTTCTTTGCAACTTGCTTAGCACTCATGTCATCAAATATACGCGAGGATCTTTTTCCCTTGTCCGTGTTAGTCAGTTGGGTATGGGAGTGTGCCATATTGAACTAGTAAATATTTTTTTTTCGCGTGTAGTTAATTGCCAAAGAAATAAACAAAAAAAAGCGAGACCCTAAAAATAACAAAATGGGGGTAAACGTGGCACTTTTATTTGCCTATGTGATTTTATGGCTAAACGGTGCATCACTTATGGTACCTACTATACTTATGTATTCTATTGATTAATCTGACCTGGTTACGGGTATTGTAAAAAAGTTTATTATAATTTTTTTCAAAGATAAATAATTAAATATTTATTTTATTATAGACATTGATAAAATCATCTTTTATATTGTATACACTACTAATTTTGTAATGTAAGATTTAATATACTCGAAATATTAGCCATTAAAGATCAATAATCAGGTGTTGCGTTCTTTTTGGGAGCTGCTGTAGGTGCAATAATATATTTATGAGAAAATTGGCAAAAGCTTTCACTTTTTGATTATATGTGGTCAAAGCGCAGTATGCGATCATATAGTATACAGTATGTGTAGTAATCTGCGGATTTATTATAAATAAAATATGACAGAAAACTACACTTTTTAATGTTGTTTTTTCGTTATGAAGTCGGGTAATTAAGTGTATTAATCTTCAGAAACATGTGTATAATGTGTCAAGATAACATTTACCCAATAGCATACTCGATAGCAATTATGCGTACATGTTTGTCCAGATGACATGGATGTAATATACCCGATAACATACAGTATATTCTCGCCATTTGTCTTCGAAAATGACGCGTAAGAATAATTCGGCCCGCAAACTTGCAATAAGGCATATTGGTGTCGTAAAAAGCAAAATGCACTAAAAAGCAGAGTGCGATAGTGGTCTAAAAAATGAAATCCGACACGCGCCTGAGATTATTATAAGTCGTTTTTTGTTTAAAGATAATCTTTTTAAATATTTATCACGTGCCAATTGCGCCGTATTTGCCACAACTTGCCTGAATTTTCCATTTACGTATCACAAAATGCGTTACGCATTCATACGTATACGGTACGTAATACGTACAGTAAGTGCATACGTATGTCTTTTTGATTATTAATAACGGTTTCTTAAAGAACATATCAGATTCGTAATCAAGCTGATTGCGTTTTAAAAAGTATAAAAGACAGCGGTAAAAGACGTGGTGAAAATTTCAATCTGCACATCGAATAAGTAATCAAAAAGAAAAAAAAATGTCGACCTTTAAAGTCATTCACAAAACCACTGCTCGTCGTTTCACTCTGGCTCCTAATTCCACATTTTCGAATCTAGGATCTCAATTGCGAAATCTTTTTCATATTCCACCTTCTATTCCGATTACAATTTCTTATACTGATGAAGATGGAGATGCGATTACTGTGTCTACTGATTTGGAACTTCAAGAAATTATTTCTCAGCAATCGACCAATCGCCCCATTAAACTTCTTTTAAATATTCCTACCGAGTACACTCGAGAATTTGAGCCCTTTACTGTTGATAAAGATATCGAAGAAATTTCGAAGTCTCAACAAAAACCCGAATCGAGACCTTCTTATACTTACAAACACGTAGAATGTGTCGATGAAGAAGCTGAGGAACCATTGTATGAATCCTATAGAAACAGTAAAGAATCTGGAAAACAGAAATCTTCTGAGACTACGGAATCCAGAGTCAACGAAAAGGAAGTTAAAGAGGAAGAAAACAATGAAGAAAACAATGATAAACCACATGTCATTTTTATAAAATTCATCCGTCCCCAAAGTTATTCATATTATTATGGCCCCCGGTTCAATCTTTTCGGTATATCACAATTCGGACCTCAATTCCCTTTTGGGTATAACTTCGAAGGATGTTCGAATTATAGAAATTGGGAATTTGAAGGTCATTTTGATTACTTCTCCAGATTCGACAAATCTTATTGTGCTGACCCAGCAAACAGTTGTGGTCCACGTGTTGAACGCCAGGGATTCCGTAGTTGTCATCAATATAATCAACTTACCTTCGAACAATTGGCTGAAAATATTAAGACCTTAAACTCCATGGGATTTGTATCTGATAATGCTAGATACGAAGCTTTGTTGAAGAAATATAGTCGTCTTGAAAGAGTTGTAGAGATTTTAGTCAGAGAGCAAGAGGAAAGTGATAGAGCCACAAGTTCTAAATCCGAAAAGCAAAGTAATTTTGAGCGCGAACAAGAGACTTCGCAGTCTTTTGTTCCTGTCATGGACGCTGACCTGGAGAATCACCCTTACAGCTTATAATTGAAATCTCAATATATTTTTTTATAAATGCGCATTTAATTTGTACGTTTGTTTCTCCTGAGTTCGTTGTTTTTTCCCTTTTGTGACTTCGAAACGTTCAATAGAATTCTTTTTAATATAGCAACATCAACATTAGATAGATCCGACTTCATTCTATTATTTATGCAATGTTGCATTTTTTCTTATATCGATAATTATAAATAAATTAATTTTGAGTGAATTTGAAGTCCTGCTTCCACTATAATTAAAAACTGGCTGATAATTTCTTGCTGTAATGACAAATGAGATTACTCGAATAAAATGATAATGGTTTATTTTTTTCATTATTAACGTCTTTACATTCGTTAAATTTATTCACTTATTTGCAAATTCTCTATACTTCATATAACGTATTAAGAAAAATATATATACAGTATATAGTATATTTTTCCATAGGGTGATATTAATAATAAAAAATCTTGTCCCTTTATAAGTGTCCAGATTTACAGTATGCGGCAGAATGCGGCGAATTATGTGTTATGCTGTGTATGCTGTATGTTAGTAATAAAATAAAATCTATTTATTTATTGGTTTTTTTTTAAAAAAATTCTATTTATTAAAATATATTATATTTATAATTTTAAAAAATTTTACTTTGTTAAGAAGTTTTGAAAAAAAAACTTCATTTAACATAAAAAGCAAATATAGATAACTGTAATTTTTTAAAGAGCTATTATAATTTGTATTTTTTTTTTTTTTATTTATTAAAAATTATTAAAATCTAATTTATTATCAAAAATGCACAATATATTACAAAGGTCTTTATAGTACTATTTTTATTAAGAATTTAATAAATAAGGATTTATATTGAACAAAACTTTATAAAATATATTCTTTAAACCTTTATAAATAGATTTCAATATTAGTGATACTTATAATTCTTACTTATGATAAAAGTATTAATTAATAAAAATTGTTAAATTTTTGAAAGAGTTGCATATGTTTTTTTAAATAAACAGTATATTCTTGAAATAAATAATATTAAATATTAATATTTTTATAGATATTAAACCATTTTTATAAATATAAATCTTCATAATTTTAAATAAATAATTTTTTAACTGGTTCTCAAATAAGATAATATTAATAAAGTTAATTTCTAAAATTAATTTTCTTCTATTTTATAAAAAAAAAAATCAATTTAATTTTATTCTTTTTCTTTTAAAAATTCATCTTATAGTATTTAATTAATAAAATCTTAGATCCTTATGCAATAGTTTTTTTATTTTATTTTAATATTAATACTACTTAAATATCAAATTAGATTTTTTTGATTTGATATAATAAAATAAAATCTATTAAATTATTTATAAACAATTTATTAATATCTATAATAATTTTTTTATATTTTAAATAAATATATTAATATATTATATTATCAAAACTAATGAATAATATTGAATTATAATTAAAAAACAAATTAATTAATTAATAAAATTATATAAATCTTTTTATTTAAAAAAAAAAGCTCTTTTTATTAATTTGTTATAATTATTTTATAAAAAATAGTCTTTATTAAAGGTTTTTATTTTTATTTAATAAAATTATTAAATATATATTTTATAAATATATTAAAAAATATATTTTTTACAATTTATTTTTAATCAAAAATAATAAAAATATAATTCAGATTAAAGATATTTTTTAATACTCTTTCTGCTGATCAAAAAATTCCCTAAAAATTTTCTTTTTTGATAATTTTCTTGGAAAACCCAAAAATCAGCTACTACACAAGACAAAAGTCTTTCAAACAAGAGAGAAACAGCTCAACAAAAGCTCAAGCAAAAGCTCAAGCC